AAAAAAAAAAAAAAAAATCAAAAAATGCTGATTTGGGCTGGAGATTTTGCTCAGTGGCACCGTGACTGCCTCACAAGTGCAAGGTTCTGAGTTCGATCCCCAGTAACAACAACAACAAAAAAGCTGATTTACCTTCTAAAGGTAATATACGTCAATTCAGTGAAGTGGGACTAGCGATTGTTCAAACTTGCATGAATTGTACACTATAAATCAGAATGAGGACATTACACACTGATGAAGGGATTATGCTCTTGCTTAAAACTCTACTCTTGACAGCAGGCAGTCTACTACTGATTTCAAGTCTTGAGAGCTGAGCAGAAATTTCCAGCAACAGGAAGAAAAGCTCCATCTGTCAGAACCTTTAGGATAGTATTTTCTGAGAGTTAGACACATTATTTACAGTGTTTAGATAACTGAAAACACAGTCAAAAAACATCTTGTTTTCTGGAGGAAAAATAATGAAGTATTTCATCCATGAGGAAAGAGAGTATGTCACATAATATAGGAAAAGATCTCTTGGTGGAATACGTTTTGTTGGCATTGATTATCTGTTGCTATAGGAGTAGATGCTCCACTGTGCCACAATGTTTGCTGGTCATGGCAGCAGGGCACACAGAACTGAGACAGCTCACACTAACTGCTTTCTTGTTTTTCTTTGACTACTAAGGTCCAGCGGTCTGGTTCATCAAATCCATCTCTACTGCTTAGTTATAATTTTCTTTCTTCATGAGCAGAACCTCTAACTCAAAGCTAAATCAAACCAAAACCAAAACCAAACAAAAAAGGAAAAGCTGCATCTGTCACAATTCGTTTTTTTTTTGGTCTATCACAATTCTGTGTAGTTGTATCTGTATCTCTAAGAATATGTCACCATCAGGCACACATTTATATTTTATATGTTATCATATGGAAATAAAGACAAATTTAACAGAACCATCTGTATGTCTGAATGCCACTGTGAAAAATTAGAAAGATTAGATCTCTAGTAAGCCATGATGTGAAACAGAAAATCCCACTGAAGTGGGGCAGCTACTTCTGTCTCCACCTCTTAAATGGAACTGTATCACTAGACACTGAAGAAACACATGAGTAGTTTGTGTTTACTCCCTTGCTTCAGTTCCTAGAAAATCTGGTTTATTTTTGGGGGGAGGGAGGATAATGTACTCCTCCTTCTTTAGTTTAGTATTTGTATCCAGATAAATCATACTGTAATTATTCATTAAATTTAATATTAACCAAATGGGGTTTCTCAAGGAACAACTTGCTTTGTTTGTTGGTTTTCTGAGATAAGGTCTTGCTATGTAGTCCTGGCTGCTCTTGAATTTGAGATCTTCTTGCCTCACCTCCCTAGTGGTGGAATTACTGGTGTGTGCCATCAGGCCCAGCTAACAAGTTGCTTTTCTAAGATAAACATTTATTCAATTCAAATGTTTTTGAGCATCCTTAGGTTCACAAATCCGAAGTGTGTATGGATACTGCAATACCTCAACATACCCTTCAAAGCCAATTGATCTGAAGCTGAATACAGTCCATGAGTCACCTTCTGATCTAAAACCCTTAGCACCTGCTCAAATAAAAAATGTAACCCCAGTCTTTCTTTGTCCTTCAGGAACTGGACATTTTTTAAATGCTCAGTCCAGTTAACTCTATTGCTGAGATCATGAAAGACAAACATCAACTGAGTAAGAATTCCAGAATAAAAAGAGACATGATCACTTAATCATCTTATATTCCTAGCCTGGATCTCAGACCCAGAAACAGATGAGAAAATTTTAAATTGAATAAGGTCTAAATATTAGGTAATAGAATTCTATTAATATTAACTTCCTGATTTAGATTACTGTACTATAAGCATTTCAGAAAAAAAAAAACTTTAAAAGGAGTGATAGAGAGGCTAGAGCAAAATAAAATAGTCTGATAACAATTGGATCCAGGTAAGGAATATAGGTAATTCTTTGCACTATTTATTCCAATGAGGGTGATTTGCAACTACTTCTCAAGTCCGAATTTATTTCAAAATAAAAAAGTTAAAAACTTTGTATCACATTTATACCCAAGAATATAATGAACTTAATGTATTGAGTCTTTGGTGTACCAAAAGGAGATGATCCCAGAGCTGGCTCTTGTTATTTTTTCTGTTTTAGTGCTTAATCATTTGTTCAGAGGAAGAGATAGGTAATTTTTGGAAGGTAATGTCATAAGGCATTAAAGTAAGAAAAATGATAACAAAGTGGTTAGGATATACTTCATTTTCTAAAAAGTAATATACTCACTGTCTAATCCAGGATGGCTGATTGTCATTAATGAGATGGATTTTGTCAGTGGAGAAGAAATGGCTGATGTACAGTAATTAAATCCCTGTTGTTTGGATCTGTGACATGTCTGAAGAAAAGAAAAAAAAAAAAGAACAGGTTTTCAGTACATGCTCTAATACTTGATAAGCACAGAATGCTAATACACAACATAGTAAAATAATGCAGACTAAAAGGGAGGTGGAAAATCATGTTTCTCAGTCAGACAGACTTGGATTCCAGTCTGCCTCTGCCACTTAACAGCTGCTCAACTTTAGAGAAGTTACTTTGTTTTACTAAGCCTTAGTTTTTCCATCCCAAATAGGGATAATCTGGTACTCATCCTTTACAATGGTTTTACATCCCTCACAGCATTTAGCAACATTTCAAGTTTACTAAGTGCTGGGTTAATACCTGCAGGATATAATACAATCCAATAAAAGTAATTTCACTGAAGATACCAATCTACCGATAGTGCTTGTTCTTTGAAATCTAAACCTCTCTAGAGATATAGTTAAGTAGGATATTAGTAATATGCTCTGATTTTATTTATTTATTGGGGGGGGTACCGGAGATTGAACTTAGGTCCTTGCACTTGCGCAGCAGGTGGAGAAACCACTGAGCTAAACCCCCAGGCCCTTTTCTTTTTTTTTTTTTTTGGTACCAGGGATCGAACTCGGGACCTTGCGCTTGTGAGGCAGGTGGCAGCACCACTGAGCTAAATCCCAGGCAATATTGCTCTGATTTTAAAGAGCTGGAAACGGAAATCAAAGTAAAAAATGTTTCCAGATCACATAAAAAACAGCTGTACATCTGGGGAGAAAAAAGCCTAAATCTTTTTCATCTCTTCTTCTAAGATTAGACTGATTGTCCATGAGGATGTAAAATGAGTGAAATGCGGTAGTGTAAAGCCCTTAGTAAACTACCAAGAGCTTCAAGGTCATGTAATAAAACCAACTGCAGAAGTTCCTGCTAAACACCCCTGAAAGACAGTTGTCACACTTTTGGTGATAAGGGCTCTCACTCCTTTTGAGAGAGCCCATTCTAAGTGTTAACTAGTGTTAATTATCATTATTAGTAGGATAAAATCTGTCTCATTCTAGCTCACATATACTGAAAAGGAAGCACCAAAAATCCATTATTAGCATTAACTCAAGTGGGCCAAAGTCTTCTGATTATTTAGAGTTCCATGCATAACCATGGAACCCGAGGCAAACAGTTGCTATGTTTCAAATACAACTCTGAGGTCTGAAAAATGACCTCGGTGAAAGGCAGAGACTTTCAACAGGAAGTTGGCTAGAGACAACTTGTGCAGATCACACACACACAAACTGCTCAAATACCCATTCTGAGGTTGCCTATAAGATGAAAAATCACAAGTTAGCAGAGTATCAGGAGGACTATGCACAGCAAGGCACTAAAGTGTTGACAGTTATCCAGAAATGTTGACTTTAAAAACACCGAATCAGGAAATCTATTTTAGAAAAGCATCACTTACTAAAAGACAAAGTCATCTGTCAAATTCAGTCTCACAAGTATCAAGTATCATTCTCAGAAAAATAAATCACACAAAAGAAATATATCACACAAAAGATATCTATAAATATGTATAAAATATAGAAATAATAAAAAAAAGAAGTGCAAAGAAAATTGAAATGACCTCACTTATTTATTAAAATTTGTCTATTGTAAAGATATGGGAAGAAGCAGTGAGACCAGCAGTCAGGAATTCTGAGTTTAATACTGTTCAGCTACAAGTTATGTAGCATTAGCCAAGTCACTTACATGGGCCTGAAGCTCTCACACATAAGAGAGCTTGAAATGAATCTGAAGGTACACACTGGCTCCATGTCTATGATTTTGTTCACAAACCCATAATTTTTATACTTTACCTGGCCTTGAAAATAATCTCCTACAGATGCTATACACGTGAAATGCAATTTATTTTTCAGATTTTCATAGGTTTACCTTAATCAAAGCTGTATTAAGTAACCACCAAATAAGTGGCTCTGTTTTTTCCTTCTTTCTGTTACCATTAGGCTTAACAAATTTAAATCACTTACTTCATTAAGTATATTCTCTACATTCTTTTTCTTTTTGTAGTATAATAGGCCAAGTAGAAATTTTTTAAAAAGTGAGAAAGCCCTTTTAGACCTAAATTTGATTTTCATTAGGCCTATAACATTTTGTTTATTCATCAGGCTTTGTAAGAGTATAAATGCCACATTCATTACTCAGATAATCTTTTGGTGCCAAATTTGTGGTCACAACATTGCTAGGTAATAGGATACAACAAAGAATTAAATTTCTACACAAAACCCCCAGCTATCAAATAAAAAAATAGGTTCTTAATATTTTTGTTACTTTTGTTAGATCACTACCCAAAATTCCTATTCAAACATAGGTGTTTTATTTGTTTGTTTAATTAGACATGTTTCATTTAATTAATTATGAAGAATCCTTTCACAAAAATAAGTCTCTCGGCCCAAGGGGAAGACTAAGAACTGGGGGAAGGGTAGAATGCTAAAAACAATCAATCTTAACTCAAAAACTCCCCCAGGGATAATGAGGGGCCTGAGAAAATGAGAACTAAGAAAACATCACTTGACTTGGCTGACAAGGCGGGCTATGACCTTTGAGAGAGTGGCAGGAGAGGACATTAACAGATGTAGGAGAATTCTGGCAGGGACAGAAAGCAGAGGGATCAATGGTCACTTCCTGGACAGTACATTTAAGCCAAAGAATATTTTTTCTATGAAGAAACTTGGGCAACTTTTTTGAAAATTGGGAAATTTAATGGTGAGTAATATACTTCAAGATTCATTTTAGTACTGAGATGGTAAGAAGGAAAATTTCAATTTTATCTCCTAGATACTTTCCCAATTCTACAATTTGCTCTCGGGCCAGGGATTTAGCTCAGTGGTTCTGCTGCCTGCCTCGCAAGCACAAGGACCCGAGTTCGATCCCCAGTGCCAAAATAAATAAATAAACAACCAAAAAAAGACACTAAAATTTGCTCTGATGGAATATTTAAATCTGTGCAACTTACTGATTTTCTTTAATATTCACTGCTAAAAACTTGCTTTGATAGACTGAATATATTATTTAATGGGTAAGTCATCTTGGCTACTAGGTTTATATTGACAGAGGTCATGCCTTCCTCATGTTCTTAAAATGTGTTCATATTTTGGGACATAATTTCTTTTCCAAATTAGCAATATATATCTATTTTAGCCTTACCTGCTGATGAAACATCCTATGTTCTCTCTGGTGTGACTCCAAATCCTCTTCTGAAAGTGACATCAAAGAGTCACCCTGTTCCTCCCCACTGAAAGGGTGTCTGAGCTCTTTGGAGTTTGCAGAGGTAACTTCTAGAGATGAGGACGGCTTATTTCCAATGCCAACTGCTCCTGTTAAGCCTTCCAAACTGAAACTGAACATGGGGCACAAGAGTTAAATTCACTGTATTTGTAAGTCTCACAATGGAAAGAGGACTCCAAATCTCTTTAGTTGTATCTCCCTTGCTCATATGTTATTTCTATGACACCTAGCAAAACTAATGGGGCACAGCACAAATGAATACCACCTCCTGCCCAGGTCTTAGAATGATGAGAAAAAATAATGCACACAGATTCTCTTACCTTGTTATCTAAATGATGAATCAGGTAAGATAACTTTCTCAGATTTTTGTCAATATACCATATGGACAGACCATATTTACCTTATTTTCTTTCATGTATGCATGCTTTTCATTTAATTAATTTTTACCAGAATCTAACTCCGCTAATGCCAAATTTTAAGAAAATATGAGTGTCGTAACTTTCAAAAGGCAAACTGGGTGATTTGCCCTGTATCCATTAAGTAGAGTTTGCAGCTTTACATTAGAATTCTACAGGTCTGGTTCCACCCCAAAAATGTCTGTGTTACTCATGGTCATTACCATTTATACATACTCGACAAGACAACTACTGACAGGCTTCCTGAAAATTGTTAGTGCAGACATGCACATATAACACTTTAAAGAACAAATGCTGAAAAGCTACTGAGTCTAGAAGTTTTAATTTTTTGTGTTGGTATGAGTGAAAGAAAAAAACTCAACAGAGCTTAAAATTTTAGGTGGGAATCCCTAGGATAAAGATTTTGTGGTTTGCAGAGCAAAAAGCATGTTCTGTTAGAAGGAAGCTACAGAGAGATTTCTCACTTTGGAGCTGGTAACTAGGATAATTTCTATCTGTTATAACTGCAGCATGGAATTTAAAATATGCAAGATCTCAAAATACAGTTGTAGTGGAGCATCCTTAGTTAACAACCAGCTGGAACTGTCTTTGAAGGTAGACTGAAGCTACTGTACTTAGTTACTTCCACTCTGGAAAAACACTACAGGTAACTGTAATTGTGACAAGTTCATACGTGCCATACTAGAAACACTTGTATTTGACTTTTTTTTTTTGCTTGATAATTACTTATTATGGACTAAAACCATATGCCTGTATTTTTTCTATTGGTTAAATTAAACAATAGGTTTGCTTTTCAATATAACAATAAAAATCATGACTAAGAATAAATGTCTCTGTAAAACTCATTTTCAATACTAGGGCTAAGAAGAGGTGCTAGGTGAAGAAGAAATTTAGTTCTGTATTATGAATTATTTGAAAAGCTGGAGAGAACCAGATTCTACATTTACCACAAAACTTAATCCTGAAAATGTTTTTAGTATTTAAATCTGGCTGGGTAGTTGAAAAAAAAATATGAAACAGGGGCTGTGGATTTAGCTCAGTGGCACCGTGCCTGCCTGGCAAGTGCAAGGTCCTGAGTTCGATCCCCAGTACCAAAAAAAAAAAAAGAATATGAAACAAAGAGGTGTCTGATTATGGGATCTAAAGACAGTAGTGGATTTGGAAACAAATAAAACACAAAATCAGTATATTTTATTAGCTGCCTTGCTATTCTCATTGTTATCCTGAGGATCTGGGAATTTGGGCAGCCCAGGACAAAGAGACAAGTCTGTAAAGAAACACTAAATCTATATCCATGTGAAAAAACATGATGTATTAAGGTCCATCACGGGGTTACCAGGGCACAACCCTTCAGCTGGTTTAGTGATGCCTATTACAGAAGCAACAGAACACTGCTCACAGACATAGCAGGCTGCCCATATACATTCTAGCCATACAGAAGCCAGCTCCAAGCCAAAGCCACATGGCATATTTTATGATTCCCCATTTGGTGGCCAGACATGTAATGATACTATACCTTCTGTAATTAAAGTCAGCACTCAAGGCAGCAGAGTATTGCACACCAGAGGGACACCAGCTCATACTGGGGATGACATCAAAGGCAGAAACAAATGGAGGAAAAAGTGAAAACAGGTACAGGGTTATTAGGTTCAAAAAGAAAGAGCACAGTTAGAGACAGATGGATTTACTTGTCAAAAAATTTAGAAATGCAACACTGAGAATTTAGAAAAGGCTAGATTAAAATACATGCTAACGCACTGTTGTACTGATATCCATCTAGTCATGCTTTGAAAAAGAACATGAGCTTTTCACAGGAAAACCAGTCCAACCTAAAACTCAAGAGTTTATTCTTGTGATCCGTGGGGAATAAGCCCACTCGCTTATGGCTTCCTCTCCAGACCTTCTCAGGAAGGCATATCAACACTCATTACTAAGACAATCTCACAACACCCCTCTTCCTTCTCCTACACTGAAGTTACACAGTATCTGTACTCCGGATTAACGTTCCGAGCTAGGCTGACTGAGTCATTAGTTTTCTTGTTTTTTCATGAACGATCCAATTATATCAGGCAATTCATGAATCTTGCATAATAGTCAAATTCACATTCTTTTTTTTCTTTTTTCCCCTTAGCAGTACTACTAGAAATTGAATACAGGGCCTCCAGCACGTAGGCAAGCAATCTACCACTGAGCTACATCTCTAGCCCTTTCTAGTTCTAAAATTTTGAGATACAGTCTCACTAAATTCCCTGGGCTAGCCTCAAATTTGTATTTCTCCTGCCTCAGCCTTTTAATTAGCTGGGATTATAGGCCTTGCAGCTCCATGCTCATCTTTAAAAGCTATTCACTAGGCTCTTCTGCTAAAAATAAAACATATAACAATAACCATATTCCCTTGTATTTTAGTGATAATTAAGGGATTTTTTTTTTCCTCCTAGAATTTTATAATACTGAGCTGGAAATGTGTTTTTTAATTATTAAGTTTGTATCCATTTTTCCAACAAGATTTAAAAAACTCCATTTGATCATCTACCTCCTTGATTATCTAACCATAGCAGGGATAGAGAATCTGGAGTTGGAGAGGCTAAATAAATATAACCAGCTTAAAAGAAAAACAAGCAACTCAAAATATCAGATACTCTGTAAAGGAAACTATTTTCAATAGGTCAGGACTCTTTTCTTTTTGAGCTATACTCCTACTGCCCTTTTGATTAACAAGGCATCATTTAAAAGTCACATTGCTGCTATTTGGACCTTAAGTTCTAAGTGATATGCTTTTATTTTCAACAGGGGAATAAGAATAGAGATGCTGGATAACAGTAAAACCACTCAGCTCCCTACTCATGAGAAAGCCTGTAGATACCAAAACACCTCTCTGGAATTCATCTAATAACTGCTTGCCAAGTTGGGGTTCTAGGCAGAGGAAAGGAGACAGGAAAACAGTGGGAAGATACAGTAGCTTCCTCTATAGTTCTTCTAGAAGCCAATTTTTATCTTTTAAAAATAACTTAGAACAGTATAAAACATTTTAAATCAAGAATGAGCAGTCTGGGGCCAGGGATTTAGCTCAGTGGTTTCACTGCCTGCTGAGCAAGCGCAAGGACCCGAGTTCGATCCCCGGTACCAAAAAAAAAAAAAAAAAGCAGTTTGAAACTCAGAAGTACAAAAGCAAAAATACACAGCTGAAATACATCTCTAGTCTGGCAAGGATATCTGGCTAACTTACAATTTACTTGTATGAGCAGAAGCAAAATACATTTTACAAGGACAGACACAGAAGTCCAGTCTTTGAAGTTACTAATTTAATTTTAAATCTTCAAATCATCAGTAATAGGTACATTATACGTAAATATCCAACTTGTTATGAAAAGCAGAAGGTGGCAAATCAGTAATAATGCATGTCACCCTTAAAAATGTCTATTGTTTTCAACATTCTCTTTATTCTCAGATTTTAAAATAATGATGTGGACAACTGGGAAGACATTTAAGATGAAGAGCAACAAGGAGACAGGAAGAGGTCAGAAAAGCTTTCCTGAGGATACAGGACGTTGCACATGGGTTATGTCTACCCCTCCTTATAGTAGAAAACTCCTTTCACAATTAAGAGTATTTTTGAGAGTATTCTCATTTCCTTAATTGGCAGGGATAATATTGAATGATTCTTTGGCTTTGAGACTTAGGAAGTTTCAGATTTTTAAACATCACCCCCCCAATACTATTTGGAATTTTTCAGTTTTACAAGCTTATGAATTATACATCATGTTTTTCCTACAAAGTGTGAGTGTGTTTATGGCGGGGGGCTCATTAAAGGCAAAACTGTAACTGGAGTTGTTTAGGACAGTTCTATCTGTATGTGAATTTGCACTGCACCTACGAATATGCCATCAAAGCTCACATCAAAGAATTTTAATAGATAACCAACCACTATAGTTCCAAAGGTTTTAGGTACCATCTACTGAAGGTTTTTAAAACAACTTGTTCCTCGAAAAGCAATACAACCGAGAATGTTTAAATTTAAGTTCAACGTTTTGCCTAAAAGATGGAATTAAAGGAATTTGAATAAGATGAAATAGAAAGATCACCATATGCCTGCTTCCAACAAACAGATTTAGCTAATTGATAAAAATACTTCTTTACAAATGTCTCTTAACTCAAGAAGCTAACAGTAACAGAACTATACTTTTTGGATTTCTTACACTTTTTCCAAACAAGAGAAGAAAGGTGGCTAAGGACTTCTGAACAATGTAAGACAAAAAACAACCTAAAACTCCCAAACTCAGCATTTGAAAAATTCAAAGCAAATTTAAGCAGTTTTTGACTAGAAATAGCTTCTCAGATTCTAAATCACTTACTTATAAGCTTCAAAATTTTACCTGACAAATAATATTTAAGAAATTTGGAGACAGAGGTTAGCTATGCCTCTTAAATACTTTTTGAAATGATTATGTCAACAATGGAATGGAAACTGCCAAGTGGCCAAGAAATGAAAGTCTCTCAACATTTTTTTTTTTTTTGAGAGAGGGTCTTGCTATGTAGCTCAGATTGGCCTCAAACTCACAGTGATTCTCCTGCCTCAGCCTCCCATGCCTGGTTCTCATATTATTAAAGAATGTGTTGAAAATATTTTAGCACTTGTGTGTGAGCACACACGTATTTTCTGGCTTTTCTTTTCTGGAGGAGGGGAGATTTTCTCCAGGTTCAATTTGATAGGTACAACATGGAAAATTCTTTGAGTTCTCAGAAAAAGTTATCAAAGTCATCTAGACCAGTAAGTGCAAGATAGAAAACGTATTTAACATTTTTTAAGAAGTTAAAAGGAATAGAAAAACAAATTATCTGGAAAGAATATAAGCAATTAATAAATACTACACTTTATTTGCCTGAAATAGAAACAGACTGTCCAGGGCAGTGGGGGGTGTAGCTCAGTAGAGTATTTGCCTCGCATGTGCAAGGCCTGGGTTCAATCTTTAGCAACCCCCCCCCATGAATGAAATATCCAGTCATGGATTAAGCAGAATGAATGCTTGTTAGTATATGCTCAGAGGCAGCATGGTTAGTCCATTAAGGTAATGAACTTTGTACCTTCTCCTATGAATGGGAGGCCTCCTGACAACATCCCCAAGAATTCGAATTGAACTGAAAATGAATGGTGCAAGACGTCAGTGATGCGGGTGAAAACAAAATGGGATACAAATGCATGAAACATACAGATACCACACTGGGAAGAGAGGTAATGGTCAAAGACATATAGCACAGGAGGTAAGGGAATGAAAGAATGCAGGATGAGAAAAATATCCAAAAGGCCTGACAATTTCTGTGAAAGGCTACTTGGCTTCTTTCTTGTTCCAAGGATTAATAACATGAGAAGTTATAAAGTTTACTACATTTTTATACAAGTAAAAGGATTAGGGAAATGTCACTCAAAACCTTAAAAGAGATTTTTAGGACTTTGAAATTCAGGTTATACTATATACAGGTAGTACTATAAGAATTAGTCTAACTATTAAAATGATAATTAAAACCTAAATCCCATTCCATTATCTCCAGGGGTATTAAGACAGAGGTGATAGGTAATCCTTAAAACTAAATTCAAACAGGCAATGCCATGACATGCAGACTAGAAATGTAAATGACTTCGGCAATAGGGTTCTAGTGTCAGTTCAGTCTTAAAAACACGATGCATCATTTAATCTGAGCTTCAATTTCCTCATCTGAGCCGCATGATGCAAACAATCACATATAACTCTGAAAACAGTCATGACAAATGGACCCATAGTGGGTTATTAAAAAAATGGATAAGTCCTCTTTCCTTGATGGTATTGTCTAAGAGAAGGATGTATTATGAAGTTTCCCTTGGTTCACAGAGATAATTCTGTGTAGGGATTATTCCCCATATCATTGTATTTTCTATTGTTGTGAATGCTTTAAAAAAGCACATCAAGTATAAAACTGCAAAGGAAAGCATTTAGAAACTGATTTTTATACAATTTAGGATTTAAAAAGTACATAAAAATAACTTAAGAACATTGCTTCTATTTCAGACTTACAACCTCAAGTCCACCATAGAAAAATATGAAATTATAGAAAAAGTACTGGTCTAAGAGACCAAAAACCTGTATTCTACTGACCTTGGGTAAATGATATAAACTATCTGCACCAGTCTTCTCAACTGCATATGTGGGGATAATACCACATGACTCATGGAGAGGGTTAAAAAATTATGTGAGAGGCTGGATGTGGTAGAGCATGCCTGTAATCTCAGCACTTGGGAGGCTGAGGCACAAGGATCACGAGTCCAAGGCCTGCCTAGGCTACACATTGAGTTCAAGGCCAGCCTGAACTACATAGCAAGATCCTGTCTCACAAAAAAAAAAAAAAAAAAAAAAAAAAAATTGTATGAGACAAAGTGTTGTAAAGGGAGTCTGAAAAGATTAACAAACTAGAAGGGTAGAAGGTATTACTGTGAGCTCCCTGAAGGCAGGAACTTTATTCTGTTTACCTCTCTGTCTCCAGAACCTAAAATACTGCTCAATGTACACTGGCTGAATAAATAAATGAATGTGATTACATGACATGCACTTATAGCCAGGCATAATCTTATGAAAACAGGAATTTAAAAAAATAAGTAGATCCATCTGAGTTGTTTACATCAGGTGTTAAAAAAAAAACAACCCATCAGGATCTGACTTAAGACAGTAACTCTGGAGTAGCTGTAAGCTGGTACGTACTGTAGTACTCATTCTCTACAGACTGCTGCCAAAGTGAAGGACTAAGATGGGGTTAGTCCCCAAGATTGTATGACACACGGGCAAATACCAACCACTTTGATATGACATTAGCCTTATGCTCATTTAAAGGATGAGATATAGATAATTTAATTTTATTGGAATTTTCTGCATGAGAAACAGATGACTCTAATTCTCAGCAAGCATTGAGTAACTTAAATAACTGTTAAGACTTCATATTTCTTAATTAAAAACTAAAAACTGACATGAAACCATTTCCTCCAGTATTTTCTAATTAATGAATTTCATTAACAAATCTGGTAACTATAAACACTACCATTTACTAAAAGTTCACTATGAGAGTTACATTTCACTTTATTATAAATATTCTGAAAAGCAAGTATTTTACAAATGAGAAAATTAGTCCAGAATGGTCAAGCGACTTGCCGAAGGTCATTTACTTGTAAGTTATATAGCAGGCATCTGAACACGAATCTTCCTGATTCTAAAGTTTATACTCTATCTTCTATACCACGGTGTTTCCTAAAATCATTTACCAATATAACAACAGATCAGACACTTCTCAAAATCAAGCAGACAGTGAGACATTAAATAAATGTACTACCATCTTACCTCCGGTTCATTTCTGCATCACTGGCTGCATTCTTTCCAGGACCCCAGCTGTGCCTCCGGAAAGGGGAGAGTGAGTGCATGGAGCTCCTCCGGATAGAGCAGTTTGCAGGCACTTCTGTGATGCTGTCCATCTCCTCCTCTTCAATTTCACCAGAGCCAGCAGGCTCACTCTCATTCTCTTGGCCCTCAGCTCCCACCCCATGGCTGTAGAAGCCATCAGGGCTTTGCTGATCTCTGGACCTGTTTAACTTTGAAATCTGAGGGAGGGACACATCACTGCCATGAGAAGAATGTCGATCCAGGGAAGCTGTGTCATCTGTAGAAGAACTGGATCCCATGACATCACAGACCTCGGGCTGTAATGGAAATAAAGCATATGCAGTTGAAACTGGCAGGACCAAGCAGATAGTCTCAGTTGTTCCAGACCAAGCCAATGGTTTCACAGGTGGTCTGAGAGGGGCAAGATCAATAAATGACCCTAAGCAGAGTTTTCTTTTCCTTTTTTTGTTACCGGGGATCAAACTTGGGACCTTGTGCTTGTGAGGCAGGTGGTAGCACCACTGAGCTAAATCTCCAGCAATCTTTTCCATTTTTTAAATCTATTTTTCCAACAAGATAAGAAGAGCTCTACCACTTGTCTATTGTTGTCTTATTGGAGCTATTAGACTAGAAGTACATTACTTTTTTCTTTCTGATAGCAGAAAAGATTCTTAGGTCAATTCTTTCAGTGAACACAACCAACTGAGATGAAGGAAACCATTTGTCTCTGGGGTTTCTGCTGTACAAAAACTAGTATCGTATCATATGAGGTTTAATTTTTTTCCAAAGGCTTTTAACAGAAAGAAAGCAGCCTCCATGGCTACAGCAAAATGGTGAAGTTAATATTTCAAAAGCGAGGACTTGACTGATTTGTGTTCTTTTGAAGGGTGCAGAATAGCTTATGATCCCACTTGAAATCAGCCACAAATATAACCTAAATGGAGGAAAGCTATTGCTTCTCATTTCACTGAAAACCAGCTAAGTGCTATGGAGCCAAATATATATGAAGTAATCAGTAATGGCGATATGGTTTTTGATAAAGTGGGATGGTCTTTACCTAGCCAATCTTTAGAGTCTAAGAGGAATTTTGGTCCCCTCAGTCTGACAGTCTATACTTGTTAAAAGATACCAAAATGCAGAATATGATGACAAAGGGAAAGGTGAGCTTTGTGACGCAAAAAAAAAGGTATCTAAGAGATGCAGGACCACATTCTCAGCTACGAATGTAGGCACTGACTTAGTATCTTTATTTTGCTCTTTCATAGAATATGGAAGGGCATACTGTGACTTTTTCACAATATACTCCTAATCAGCTAGTTGACTCAGTGTTTTAAGAGTGAAGAAATAAAAATACATAGTTCTTAGAGAAAAAATTTTAAAATTGAGGGCTAATGAATCCTTCAGTTATAAAATAGGAAATAGTCCCTATACTCAAAAGAGTATTTTAAAAGGTTTAACACTTTTGACCACAGGCATATTACTTTCTGAAAGCACCTGTATGTCTTTGGGACTGGATCTCACCAGCTACAATATAATTTTCTTGCATTCCATGGAATCTGCTTTCCTAGGTTAATTGCTCTTTAAAATGCATGGGATAAGATTGAGATGGAAAATACAAGGGGATCAGAAAAAGGTCAGAAAACTGAGGCCCACGTTGTCTAAAGGACTCTTATGATTACATGGTCAATAAGCAGCAGAATCAAGATTTGAATCCAGTTTAATTTACTCAAACTGCCCTATTCCATTATCCCAGCTGTCATTAAAAACCCAAAAGTCCCTTCACTGAGTAAAACTCAAAACAACCCACAAGTGTTCCACCACACAAATTCTAAATTAGAGTAGGTATTACTTTAAAATAAAATTTCTGATTGTTCTTTTTAAGTTAAAAGAGCCAATGAGGTCATCTTAAAAGGTTCCTATTGGGGCTGTGGATTTAGCTCAGTGGCACTGCGCCTTCCTCACAAGCACAAGGTCCTGAGTTCAATTCCCAGTACTGGTGGGGGAGGAGTTCCTATTCCTGTAGCCGCTCTGCACAAAAAATGAAAATATAAATGGTCCTTAATACCAACTTTAGAGAACACTTCTAGAATATCTAAGCTTTATCACTGTTCTATAGAGTTCTCCTCAAATATATGTCTTTTTCAACATACATTCTTATTTGGAAAACAAGATCTTTTCAGATGTAATTAGTTAAGATGAGCTCACAGAGGAGTAGGGTGAGCCTTTGATCCAACAGGAGTCAGTCATGTCCTTGTAAGAAGAAGAGGTTCAGGGTAGAGAGAGATACTATGGGAAAGCAGAAACAGAGACTGGACAACACAAGAAATATTGAGGACCATCAACAAGCATTAGGGAATACCACAGAGGCATGGAACAGATTCTCTCTCAGAGAAAGCAACCTTGCTAAAATGATTTTAGGACCTCTAACTTTCCACAAATGTCAGAAATAAATCTGTTGTTTTAAGCTATCCACTTTGTGGTAAATTTTTACAGTATCCCTAGAAAATGAATGCAGTTACCCTTAGAGGGTATACTAAGGGACAAACAGAATGGGTATCAAGCAAAATGTGTGACAAGCCTATTCTAAAATACACAAGCAAGGGTTCAAAGGAAACAAAAACTCTGAATTTAAAGTCTCCATTTATCATGTATTCTTCTTACAAGTTAGCTCTTCCTATTTGGAAATAACTTAGACAGTAGCATGAATAGGTTGCTTCTTCACTTTGGCATTTAGAAAGACACTGCTTTGAAGAAAAAAAAACTTTGGTGGCCTATTAATACACATTTTTAAAAAGGAGAGAGCTATGTACAATGTATCTTCAACATAGCCTTTCCTCCTGGTGTGTGCTACAATATTTTCCTGCTGTGTGATTTTAACCCTCACTGAGAAGCAACCATTAAATCTTCATGGTAATGATACAATTTCTTCGTTTTTGCATTCCTGATAGTAAGAGTCATATGGTATAATATTTTACACAAGTATTTTTACTATACTCGATTCTTATTATGAACTGGAGGCTGTTACTTAAAAAAAGAAGTTCAATTATTAAATACTAAGGCTCTGAATCTAAGGGCAGCACTAAACTACTGTTTGCCAAGAATTTTTCCATGTTGTAGAAACAGTTTCCCAACTTTATGTCTTTACATCATCCCTGCAGAACAGAAAATAGCCAGAGGCCCAGCCATGAGTCAAAGCTAGAATATAATCATAGTCTTTCTATAGGCTAGGTACGTTGACTATGGCTAAGTCACTTTCTTCATTTTGCCTTTCTAGACTTAAACAGATTTAATAAGCTTAAGATGTAAAGAGGTTATAAATTAATAAAAGGCCTGTTGAGAGGCACTGTCTGTTTAAATTATAGATGACAGAGAATAGAAAAAAAGCAAAGATTTTATAAATTTTGTGGGGTTTTTTGGGAAAGAAAACTTTTCCAGTCCCTGAATCCATTAAAAATAAAGTTATTACATTTACCAAGTAAGGAACACAAAAACTATTACTTCCTCCATTTCTCTCTCGCCTCCCCCATATCAAATTTGAGGAAAGATGTCTTCCATTTATATATTAGAAAACAAGTTATGGGTTCTGACATAAAATGTTCCATGCCTAAGTCCCCCTCTTCTGAGTTACTTATCTTAAAATGTCTGATAAACAAATGACTTCTAGGTATTTAGGATATTACTCTGTGCTTTCAGGAGAAAACAGTGCCAGGGAAATGAGATCAGTTTAAGGTATTTCATTTGCACTTAGTAAAAACTAGGTGATATTTCCAGTCTTATAAAGCAGATGGCCAAAACATAATTTAAGGTTTTATTCTTCTCCTTTAAGCTGCAGTTTGTAGGTGGGACTGTAGTAAGAACAAAGGTAAATAAAAGTAGAAAAGACCTATGAAGGTAGTCAGAAGAGAACTGAAATGGGTGAGAGTTGTATATGTATACAAGGAAAGGGTCTAGGAAAACTAGATTTGGTCTATTCCTGACACTGACACATAAATCCTTCCTCCCCTGAGTTTTTATAATTGGTTTTCCTCCTGCATTTGGGGGAATGGAACACATAGACAAAAATATCATCTCTATCAAAGGCTCTTTTTCCTTTGTGCTTGCCTAATTCTGAAAATCTGCAAAAGGCATCAGGCTAGTGAAAGTACCTATGAGTCTAAGAGAGGGATGTTTGCACAGAATGGTCCTCTACTCCAAGTCATTCAAAGACCTTGGTGGGCCTGCTCACAAACACCAGTCTTAATGGACAGCTCCATCTTGAGAGGCAGAAGCTGAGCCATTAAATGACTGAAGGATACCGGTCTGCTTAATTTCAGAAAAAATAAACTAGGCAGGTTAGAAATATAAAATTAAATAGCTAAAAATTAATGAAAAGGTATAGATAAAATGATGTTATCTAAATGCTGTTAGAAACTTACTATTTATAAAATATATGCATTAAAAATAAGTTTGAGCTGGTTACTCTTCACATATGGGGCTCTATGTAAGTGATGTATAGTATTCTTTTAACCCTTGCAACTAGTTGATTTAATAAGTATTCTTTTTCTCATTTTATAGGTAAGAAATCTGAGGTTCACTGAGCTGTGGACACTACAAATGCTAAAATTAAAACAATTATAACTGTTGATAAGGACATGAAACAACCAGAATTTTCATATCACAAGGCCCTATAAAAAATGGTACAATCTGTTTGGAAAAAGGTATGTTTCTTATACGACTAAACTTATACCTACATATGGCCTAGAAATTCCACTTCTAAGTTTAGTTGAGAAATGATATTATTTAGATCCCATTTATATGATGCTGTCAAACAAGGAAATTAATCTTTGGTGGGGAAAAAAACTTCGTTACTTTTGGAGGGTTTGAAGGGAGACTGGCTGGGAAGGGACATAAGGAAACTTTCCAAAGAAATGCTTACAGTCTCTCTCCTGGTGTAAGTCTGGGCAAAAATGGTGAGTGAAAAATAATTTATCAAAAGTCTTTGAAAAAAAAAAAAAAAGTCTTTGAATTCTCAAGAGAGTGTATTTCATTGTATGTAAATATTACAAAAAGGCCAGGGATTTAGCTCAGTGGTTCCGCTGCCTGCTTCGCAAGCACAAGGTACTGAGTTCGATCCCTGGTACCAAAACAAACAAACAAAACAAAAAACAAAAAAACTATAAACAAATTCTAAATACTCAGAGGTGAAATGCATTAACATATGTACCTTATTTTGAAACACATTAAAGAATTCAGTGGACTTGTGGGTAGACAGATGGACAGACAGGAAGTTATACAAGGAAGTAAATGCAATAAAAATTACAGAACTGGGAGTTTGGTATATGGGTGCTCATTACACAATTCTTCAATTATTCTAAACATTTTAGTGTTTTTATGATAAAACATTAGGAAATGATACCTGCCTGGCTTTTATTTAAGCGCGCACACACACACATTCAACACACACAATAACTTTAAAAACAAATGTAAAGTTTATCCTGCTGATCTAAGGAATAGAAAGATCTTAGGAGCAAGCAAATAAATATTCTCAAGAACAAACACGACATTCTTAATGTTCACCATAGTCACATTTATCAGGGGGCATACTGAATGGAAAGAAGGTTAAGATGAGGAGTTCACAACAAACACAGGCTGTTAAAAGAAATCTCTGTGAGACCAGTCATACAAGTGGCTACAGGAAGTGATCTAATATACCACTCACTGTTCACAGAAAAGAATGTTGCAATGCGTTGTCTACAGATTATGTTTTTAGACAAGGAAGAGAAGGGTTAGGCTCTGGGAAGAAATTGGAACATTCTAGCATTGTGCAGCATTTGTACAAAGGACCACCGAGATTAAGGACATAGCTGAAGTCCTATCTACCAGTACTATGCTTCACTTTTACAAGCAGGTTTGTAGAGACTGAAAGCAAAACAACAAAATATGCAAAGATTTAGAGTTAGGCCTAGAAGCAAGTGGTAATTCTATTACTTGGTGGCTAAACAGTTTGGGATAAACTACTTGACCTATCAGAGCCTCTATTTCCCTCAAGGGCATGAAGAGGAAAACAACGCCGACTTACCAGGGATTCTGGGCATATGAAATAAGATCAAAAATGTAAAAATTTTATTTTGGTGCTCTGTGTACACTAAGTACTCTGTCAGTGTTATTCTGTCTCTCTCTTTTTCCTTGTGTAAGTAGTAAAAGTAGAAATCTCTTGGTTTTTATTAATGCTAGAAATAGCATTTATTCTACAGCTTCTCTGGATCACAAGCCACTTTGGTAGAATGGAAATACTAAAGAGAAAAAAAGCTGTCTGTTCCCTTCCCAGGCCATTCAGATATTCTTACACATCTACGAATAGGTGAAAGTGCATCCACCATTTCTGGTTTTCGCTAGGCACCTGGTATGAAATGTAGGTGGAAGTTTATTTGGGGGTGTACACTTACTTCAGTTTAAAAAATTATCATTTCTCTCTAGTCTTCCTTTAAAAAAAACTTCTATCTAGCAAAGGCTATTTGTATGAACAATATCCTAAATGGTTTTGGCAGATTGAATAAAAAGATAAAATACAGAAAATTCTAATTTTCCATAGGTTAAGTAAAGTATTCAATTTAGTGATCAGAAATAATTATCACTGCAGAGATTGGAACAGCCAGGGACAAGCTGTCATGTTCCCAAGAGTTAAGCAACCAAGTATTTCTTAAGGAAAGCAATTCAATTTTTTAAAACAAAATTTTAACATTATCAAATATAAACAAATGTTTAACACATCTCTCTGAATACATGACCCAATTTCAGCCATTATCACCAGGTCCATTTTAAAACTGGAATTTAGAGATACTATTTAGTCTGTTCATATCAGACACAGCAATGTTTTTAAGAGACATGTACTTTCACAATGGTATTCCCCCTGGGGACAAAAGAAATCTTTACAATTTTTTCAGAGACACAGTGGAAATTACCTGAATTCTTATATTTTAAATACCATATTGGTTTTCTTCTTCTTAAATAACTTCAGAGAAGGGTTAATCTTCCAAATGTGTAGAATTTTAACTTCCTAACTCCTTGAGTCAACACTGAAACCAACAACGACAAAAGTCCTGAGGTTTGCACTTGAAAAAGCTTGGGAAGATAAATGAGCACAAGAGAAAGGAACAAAGTGGAAAAGGTTAGGTAAGGACAAATAGGGATGAGAACTGCTGGACAAAAACAAGAGGAAGGTAGAGGGTATCGTCACAGACCAGAACCTCACTATGACATCATTCTTATACCATAACTTCTAAACACAGGGTCATCACACTGTCTTGGATAACTTAATCACCAGCTAACACAACTGCTCTCCTCATTTTCCCAAAGTCATCATAAAACCAGAAGGATCAGCCTTCTTCACAGATGCCACAATGTTTCTGCCACTTCACCCCTTACTATTAAGAAAACCACTTGAAACATATAATTGAGTACCACCTTCCTTCTCTGCAGAGGGAAAGCCCTCTATTCTTCTTAAGGGACAAAACGAAACTTGCTGCAAGCAGGAACAAACACAAGCAAAAGAAAGCAAAAATGGCCCCCCCTTCCATCTGTCACTCCCTTAGCCTCAAATTATATGCAACTGTGAGCTGATTCATGTGGATGGGATTTTCACTACAAGAAGGCTTGGGTTTTCTTGCAAAGATCTAGAGAGTTTCAATTAAGCAGGCTGGATGAAAAGGGGTGATATCATGAGGCTAAGCAGCAAGCTTCAGGCCTCAACACATTAATCAAAATGACTCTATGATTAGATTATACACATGACATCACACAGTCTGAGCTGCGGTCCCTTCCTAACTCACCGAAGAGTGTTCATTGTCATCTCACTTAATTAATTCAAAAGGAACTTTCGTGATTTTAGACGTCAATGCAAGCTTTCAAAACCTACACGTAACTAGCCATGATTCTGCAGAATATAAATTTGGCCAATGCTTTTTTTCTAAGCATTCTGGAGTTTCCGTTTTTCAAAAGGCAATACTTACTCTCCTCTGATCGTGAGTGAAGCTTGTAAGGCTAACCAGACCACAAGTTACCAACAGGATCAGGAATAAGTCAAGAATGTCCTCTATCACTACTTCTATTCAATACAACACTGGAAACATTAGCCAGAGCAATCAGGCAAGAAAAAGAGAAGAGATATGTATAACAAAGGAAGAAGTAAAACTATATTTATTTGCAGATGACATGATCCTTTACATACAAGACCAAAAACTCCAAATAACTCCTAGAACTAATAAATTCAGCAAGGAAGAAGGATACAAAACCAACACACAAAAACCATTGTGTTGTTGTATAACAATAATGAACTTAGTATGAAAGAAATTAGGAAATGATATCATTCAGACAGCTTAAAGGAAAAAATTAAACAGGAACTAACCTAACAAAGGAAGTAAAAGACTTCTATAATGAAAACTACTCTGAAAAAAGAGACTGAAAAGGACATCAAAAAATGGAAACATATCCCTTGATTTTGGTTATGCAGAACCAATATTGTCAAAATGGCTATACTTTCAAAACTGATAATAGATTTAATGCAATTCCAATCAAAATATCAATAGCATTCCTCACAGATCTAGAGAAAACAATCCTAAAATTCATACAGAACCAGAAGAGACCTCAAATAGCAAAAGCAATCCTGGGCAACAAGAGCAAAGCAGGAGGCAACACAATCCCAGATTTCAAGTGATATCACAAAGTTATAGTGATAAAGACAGTATGGTACTAGCACAAAAAGAGGTATGTAGATCAGTGGAACAGAATAAGGATACAGAAGCAACTGCAGCCACATTCAGCCACCATGTGATCCTTGACAAAGGGGCCAAAAACATATGCTGGAGGAAAGATAGCCTCTTCAGCAAATGGTGCTGGGAAAACTGGCTATCCACACGCAGAAGACTGAAGCTAGACTTGGATCTTTCACCATGTACTAAACAGAAATCCAAATGGATCAAAGATCTAAATTAAAACAAAACTAATCTGCTGAAAGACTGAAGATATAGGCAACAACTCTGAACAGAACCCCATCTGCATAAGAAATATCAAGAATCAACAAATGGAATTATATCAAATTAAAAGGCTTCTGCACAGAAAACAACCAACAGAATAAAGAGATAACCTATAGAATGGGAAAAATAAATTAGCCAGAGACTCCTCCGACAGGAGACTAATATCTAGAATATATTAAAAAGGACTTGAAATAATTAGACCTCTCCCCCCAAATAAAAAGAGCCAATGAAAAAATGGGCAACTGATATGAACAGACACTTTTCAGAAGAGGAAACACAAATGGACAATGAATACATAAAAAAAGTTCAACATCTCTGCCCATCAGAGAAATGCAAATTAGAACAACACTGAAATTCCATCTTACTCCGGAAAGAATAGCTATCATCAAGAAATCAAATAACAGATTGAAGAGGCTATGGGGAAAAAAGGAACCCCTTCTACATCGTTGGTGGAAATGTAAATTAGTACAACCACTATGGAAATGAGTGTGAGATTCCTCAAAAAAACTAAAAATAGAAGTTCCAGTCAACCCAGATATTCCCCTCCTAGGTATCTTACTCAAAGAATTTAGGACATCACGTTACAATGACACATGTTTGCAAGCAGCCCTTATATCCATCAACAGATGACTAAAGAAAATGTATATATACACAATGGAGTACTACTCTGTCATAAAAGATTAATTTAAATCATCTGTAGGAAAATGGATGCACCTTGAGACCATAATGTTAAAATGAAACAAATCAGACATGCAGGCTTAAATATCACATGATTTCTCTTATATGAGAAACTCAAAGTATAAAGAAAAAGTAATAGGTAATAAGAAATAGGGAGATAGGTATTTTGCAAATGGGAAGGGGACCAAGGGGAGAGGAGAAGGGGAGGTAGATAAAAAAAGAATTAAGATATGTTATATACACATACCAATTCCCCATGTTGTCTGTAATTATTACATATTGCAGATATATGCTAATAAATATAAAATTTTTAAATAACTAAGTTACTAGAAGGAGTCACATATTAAGGGAAGTGAGATTCTTTTTTTTTTTTTGGTACTGGAGATCAAACTCGGGACCTTGTGCTTGTGGGGCAGGCAGCGGCACTACTGAGCTAAATCCCCGGCCCAGAAGTGAGATTCTTTGAGAAGACATGAACACGAGAAGAAACAAAGAATAAAGAGTTAAGGAAGGAAAAGTGGGAACATCAGAATTGCTGGACATGAAAGAAAAATACACTCAATACCTTTGAGAAGATGACGCTGTCCATGTCATCACTGGGTGAATGAAAGAGGTCAGAATCACTCCCAGATTCTCTCTGAAGTACACCTTGTTTTGAGGCACATTCTCTGTCCAGTCCAACATCCAACAAGTTCTCACATTCTGAAAAAGAAAATTTATTCAACTGATACTTCCCAAAAGTATTTTTTTACTTTGTATTCATTTCAGAAATTATTTTTCATCCAGAATCTAGGCTTTTTCTCTCTCCTTTACTTTTTGGTCGCCTTGGTGCTGTCTTTCCTGTTTTCCTCTTTCCTTTTTATGTATCAGGAAGGCAGAAAGGACATAGTCAAATCATGTACTAGCTTTCAGCTCTGCTCCTGAAATTCTAGGCTGATACAGTTACTACTGGATACCCATGAGTTGCCATGGGTATTTCTGTAAGATATAGAAAAAAAATGATGCTACCTACAAGGTAATGTCTTCCTCCTGGTAGCTAAACAATTTTTTTTTCATTTGTCTCCAAAAATCTGAAGTTTATTACTACAAAATTATGTGATAGACTTTTTTGACCATTTCAGTTCTGAGACTAAAGTCCTATCTGAAAACTTGCACCTTTCCAAAATAGTGGTATAAAGATCATCTCTAATAAACATCAGAGTATCAAACATATGGGTTTTACTGAGTAATAACAGATTAATTTAAAACCTTTTCTCCCTTAAATAGATCTTATACTAGGAAAAAAACTGGAGTAGAAAATGTATCATCTGGAATCTGTATTCAGTTCAATAACTAGGATGGGAACTCTGATGAACCAATGGGAGGTGCCCCTGACAAAATGATTACACTGGTATGTTGAGAAATCCTCAAGACTTAGCATCTTGAAATTAGCAAGGTATTAAAAAAAGAAATTAGCAAGGTATTTAATCTATTCTTTCCTATTAACTTTGTCAACAAATGGGACATAAGATCTGGAAGCAGTAAGATTATAAAAATACTTACAGATGATAAAACTAGGAATCCAAAGAGTTAATTAGTGGGTGTAAATTAAGCAACCTCAAGAAGTTCAGAAGAGTTATGCCTCTCATACTAGTATTTTAATGTGTGATGCAGACATACATGTGTACTTTATGAAATCTGTAGGTGATATTAAGAAATGAGAAGCAGAGTAGAAAACCTGGCTACCATGCAGTTCTGAACCTCTACCTAGAAGTTCTGGTAAAAAGCAAATTCAAAAGGAGCTAGCAATACACGGAGATCGCAAAATAAACCAAAAACAGAAATAGTTTTAGGCCTTATTAAGAGACTATTACACTACTATAATCCAAAATGAGGATGGTCCTGTACTAAGCAAAACACATCACACAGAATTGTGTTTGTTCCTAGATTGATACCTAATCAGAACAATGACAGACAAAAATAAGGACGTAATAATGAGGTCAAAACAGGGCACATTGAGCTCATGGAGGAGCCTGAAGGAGCTAAAGGCAGGGGTAGATTCCCTCTGTGCCATTTCAGGGGCAGAACAAAGACTACTGCATGAAAGTTGCAGAATGTCACTAATATTATCAGGGATTCTGGGGGTCTCATAAAGTAGTGAGTGTCATTTAATCAGAAGTGTTGCAGCAGAGACTGAAAGACTATGTCAAGATATTACAAAAGACATCTACACAGAAGGGTAGTTTGGACTCATTAACTTCCAAATTCTCTTTTGATTCATAGGTTGTATGCTTAGAAGAGAACTGTGAGAGATTGTTTACATGTAAATTAATTATTAATTGTTTAGAGCTCCGGTGGTGCAACTGGTTAACACCCTGTACTTATACAACTAATAATTAATGAATTGTGTACACTGGACCAGCCAGATAGCTTTGAGGAAGGAGGCAGTGAATTGGCATAGGTTATGAATTGCTTGTCAGCAAAAACACTTCTTTCTTTTTTTTGGTATTGGGGATTGAACTCGGGTCCTTGCGCTTGCAAGGCAGGTGGCAGAACCACTGAGCAATTCCAGGCCCAGCAAAACCACTTCTATTAGGCATTTAGCTGCGTACTAGGCAATAGAAATAGAAATGCTTAGTATGTGTATATGTGTGTGACAGAGGAGGGGGGTCTATTTACAATCTTGTGGTAGAAATAAACATATTAAGAGATAATTTCATCACAGAATTAAGGTATGTCACAGGTAGCAAGGCAGGACACGTAAATTAATCTGAAAATTTTTCAATTAAAAAAATAACCTTAATGTATGTGTTCAATGGGAATAACAGGCCTGCATTTAAAAGACTAGAAATTATGTGTATTCTAGAGGGATCCCTCAACACACACATTTCATAGATTATGTAGTAACTTAAGTGGAAATGGTGGGTTTGTGATCTTTCTATTCCTTTCCCTTTCCCACTTGGAAAAAAAAAAAGAAAAACTCCACTCTGTGGCTGAGGGGAAACAGGGGGCTAGCCAAGAACAGAAAGGGCTGTCACAGCAACCATGCTGAGCTGCTAGCTGGCCAGCTGGCAGTCTAAAAGACCACATCCAAATTCCAGACTGGAAAACAGACCACCACAAGATATCCTAATGGAAAATTCACAGAAAGAGCCAGATTCAGCTCTAGTAGGAACACCTCACCCAAACAATAAATCCAAGCCAGCACAAGACCACAAACCAAACTTGGGATCTCACTGTGTGAGATAATGTTGAATGTTGGGGCAGGAAGAAGGGAAGAGTATGAAAATGGAGCAAGGGAGACAGAGAGACCGAAAGACTGAGGGGTGGGGATCCAGAAAGGCAAAGCCAATCTACCCTATGGCATGTGTTGGTAAGTTCACAAAATTAATGAAACTTTTCTTTTCTTCCAACACATCTCTTTCCTCATAAATAGTGATGTAAACAAGAACAAAGAGCCCTAGTTTTAGAGTTAGATGGATTTGGCTTAAATCTAAGTACTTACAATAAGAAAGATGCCAGGCAACTGGTAATTTAAGCTCCTATGACTCCATTTTCATACCAGTGAAATGGGAAGATTAGCAACTCCCCAAAGAGTTGTAATTAACAGAAATAATATACACAATAGAGTAACCATATCTGTGATACAGGTACCTAATGAGATACATTATGAGTGTGAGATAATAATAAAGTTCAGGCTTCACTAATCTTTACTGTGTGGTTTTTTTTTTGGTACTGGGGATCAAACTCAGGACCTTGTGCTTGCGAGGCAGGCACTGGCACCACTGAGCTAAATCCCCGGCCCTTAAATAGCTAGATGGTACACTGAAGGTAGGCACAGTGGGCACAAGTCCATTTTTATGGCTCATACATAAATCTGTCTATAATTTTTGGGCACTGAGTCATTAACTTTTTAAAAGCTAACAGAACATTCACTTTTCAAACTGTTATCTGGTCATTTAGGCCTAAAATGACAGACATACACAACATGTCTAGCTGTGTAGCAGGATATACCATCTAGGTATGCATAGGTACACCTCATGATATTCACATGATGTTAAAATCACCTGATGTACTGTATTTCTCAAATGTATCTTCATCTTTAAGTGACAGTACTATATATGCTAACAAATTGTAGTTAGAATAATGTAGGAAAACATGCCAACAACATCCACTGGGCTTTGTTAAACCATGCTATTTATAATTGTATCTTGTATTTATCCAATACTGAAGAGTATGCAAAGGGATTTTAAGATATATTATCTCATCTGATCTAACTCTATTGTTTTCCGGAGAGTATTTATAAAATAAAGTAAAAAACAAAACAAAACAAAAAAAACCTGGAAAAAAAAGCACATACTTGAGACTCACAAAAAAATAAAACTAGGATGAGGGAGTCTAAACAATTCAAGATTATGCCCCGAGGAAAATAGTTATGTGGTTCAACACCATTTCTCTAAAGGAGTAAATTAAATATTCAATTTGTGAGACAGCTTCATTTAGTCTTTACATGGCAGTTTCACTGCTTAAGTGGTTGTAAGTAATTATACTTTTAAGAAAAAAGCTCCAAGCAGTTTAAGAAATCAAAACATAGTAATATTACTTCTAACACAGTAGACTGTGGAGACCCTAAGTTTAACTATAGCATAATATCCTTTAACCACTCTTTCAGAAGTTTAGGGAAAAATACTTTGCATATCTGCTTTCAATAATTCCTTTGTAGTAAAGCCAGAGTTGAGAATTAGTAGGAAATCTCTTTGGACATAGAGGATTTAGATAGCTTGTTTTAAAATTTAATATGACTGTAGGGTACCTACAGTTAAACTGCTCCTAAAAAGACTAGCAAAAATAAAGACAAGGCAATTTTTAAAGCAGAGAGTAAAAACTGGAAAACAGCTTGGTTAGGTTAAGCAGACTCAAGCATCCAGAATGCAAATTACTAGTATTCACTTAGCTGTAGGATCAGGCACAGAGAAATATAATTACTCACCATTTCATCTGTACAATATCCTTCAGTGAAGCAAGATAGTAATATTTTACAGATGGGAGACAATGAAGCACACAGACATCAGGGAACATACTTTACGTCACAGAGAGTTGGTGGCTGAACTTGGGTTCAAAGTTGGGAATCCTAACTAACCACAAATCATGTGCTGTGTCTTAACAAGCAAAGTCTTAGGAGAATTTTTCTTCCATCTATTGTTACTAATACCTCATAGTTGGTAAAGGAAAGACTCAATTTCTGACAACACTTCGAAAGTGTAGTGGTTCTCAGCCTTGGCTACTCAGTAGGTTAACCAAAGAAACTTAGAAAGATTCTGATGCCCAGGTCACAACCCACTCCAATTAAATCAGCATCTTGGGTGGAGGATGAGGGAGGGTGAGCCTAGGGATCAGTATATTTTTAAAGCTTGCTTGCTTGTGTAATTCCAATATGCAGCTGAAATTGAGAACTACAGGTTCACACACACACACACACACACACACACACACACGTGTGTATATATGTATTATATATAATTTTACCAGATGAAAAACTTATGTAAATACACAGCACCAGATACCTTCACAAATAAATAATCAATCATGAAGCCGCAAGTCTCTTATTACCAAAATAAAAATTAAGGAAATTACTTGTGTTCATCTTCAATCATGAGACAAAATGGCTATAAACCCATATCATACATACCCCTTCCTCTGATTTACTGTACAATATGCTAAAAAAGGGCAGACCTCTAAATGAAATGATCTATTATTAGAGTGGGACTGTGGCTCCAGAAAAATGGACATTTTGGATGCAGTTACTCAGTAAAATCAGAAGATGGAAAATCTCTGCTCACCCGGGCTCTGTTTGGAGGCCAAAAGAGATGGTGCAGCTGGGCATGGCTCTAATGTACACCAGCTTTCACGGTTTATCTGAAAAAGAAAAACAATTTGCTTCAGACACTGAAGTAATGTGGGATAACTTAACAACTGCTAAGAGTTTATGTGCTGCATGAACCAAACCCTTCCGCCTTTTAACAGTTCATTTCAAAGTAGTTAAAATTATGTCAAGGAAAAAAACCAACAAGCAAGCAAACTACAACATAATCAAAGCAGTCCAGACAATTAAAATTCTGAAGAGCCTATCAATAGTCATACCAAAGCAATAAGGAAAGACAAAAAGAAGGCCATGGTGCAGGCCAACAGTGGAATGAAGAAAAAGTTAACAGATGAAAATGGCCAAATACTGAAATACATATTTGATGTTCTAGTTCATAGGCTAAAAGAAAACATACTACATATTTTTCAAGTTTAAAAATACAAAATAATTTTCATTTAAGAATTAAATGCCAGGTATCATGCTAGAAGTTCTGCATTTATTATCTCACCAAATAACCAAAATAGCTTCAAGAATTTTGTATTATCTCTATTCATCCTAAGAATATACTCAGGTGTTGTTGAAATACTTTAATAAGTAGCACAAATGGCACTGGAATGTGAGTCTGTGTGACTCTACAAAGCAAGTATCTACCTTTCTCCCAAAATAACTATGTTTTAAAAAAAAAACCTTTAAAACTCCCCCAAATCTTAACATTATAACCTTTCACTTTTATTAACTTTGAAATAATAGAATTTAAAAAAATTATCCTTAAAGATTTTAACACTTCCCTCTCAGTAACTGATAGCAAAATGGTAAGAATACAGAAAATTTCAAAGACGTCAACCATTATGCCCTAACCAATAAATACAGACCACTCCAGCCAATTTTTAGCAGAATGTACATTCTTTTCAAGTGCATCTAGAATGTTCATATTTTTCTGGCATAAAACTAATCTTAAAATACATAAAACAAAAACTACACATTCTGTGGCACATCTCAAATTTAAGAGGATTAAATCTATTAAAAGGATATTCTCTGACCACAACAGTATGAAATGAGAAACAAAAAAAAACCCCACTGAAATATAAAAACTCAAAATTGATTATATAACTCAAAAACTCATTATATGTATACATATTAAAGCTAACATTATAAAAGTCTACAGAAAACACAGGAGAACATTTTCTTGTGACTTGAGGTTGGGCAAATATCCATTAGTCACTACGTAATTAACAGCATGAAAAAAATATAAATTCAACTACATCAACACTAAAATCCGGCTCCTTAAAAGCTATTGCTAAGTAAATGAAAAGGACAGGGAGAAAATATTTTTCAAAGGCACCAATCTGCTAAAAGACTCTATTCAGAACATATAAAAGCAAAACAAAAGCTGGGTGCAGTGGCATTTGCCTGTAATCCCAGCTCTTGGGAGGCTGAGGCAAGAGGATCACAAGTTTGAGTTCTACTTGAGGGTCTGGGGTATAGCTCAGTGGGAAGATCATGAGTGTAATCCCCAGGACACAGGAAGGTGGGTGTACACTACAATAATAAAACAACACTGTTTAAATGGATAAAAAACTTAGATAAACATTTCATCAAAAAAAGATAATGAATGCCAAATACACAAAGAAAAAGATATCCAAATGTTACTCAATAGGAAAACACAAATTAAAACCACAAGCAGATACAACTACACTTCCATTAGAAGAGTTAAAATTAAAGACTGATGATACTACTGTGTTAACAAAGATGTGGAACAAGTGGAGCATGAAAATGTAGCTAAGAGAACGCAAAATAGTACAGCCACTTTGAGAAGTAATCTAGCAGTTCCTTATGTCAAACATACACTTATACACAATATAACATCCTGCTCAGGAGTATTTACCCCCTCCAAAACAAAGACATTTTCATATGAAGACTTACACTGGCATTTTCATAGCAGTTTAATTCATGCCAGACCCAAACTAGTACCAGCTCAGAGAAACACACTATAGTATCTTCATACAATTTAACAGATTCACAAAAAGAAGTGATGAACTACTAATTTAAACAATATGGATTAACCCCCAAAGCACTGTTATAAAAGAGGAAAGAGGTATATACAAGATTACCTACTGCATGGTTCTATCTACATGATATTTTAGAAAAGGCAAACTGTACTGTCAGAAAGCATATTAGTAATTAACAGAGACTGGAAGGGATTACTAATCAAAAAGGAATAAAAGGGAACTTCTGAGCTGATACATATATTCCTGAATGATGGGGTAGTTTGCTAAAATGCATCAAACTGCAAACCTAAACTGGTGGTGGTAGTGGTGTTTGTTTTGTTTTGTGGTGCTGGGGATTGAAGCTAGGACCTTGTGCATGCTTGGCAAGCATTCTAACACTGAGCTATATCCCTGAACATAAGCTGATGAATTTTATTGCATGCAAATAATGTCAAGTATAAAATATAAAATAAATTTTAAAACATGAAATATAAAATATAGCACACACTTAAGTTTTCATAACCTTCTAATCTCATTAAAACTAAAAATTCATCTGTAATACTATGAGCTTCTAAACAAATTATCAGGTACTTGAATATAATGATCAACGACAAAATCTGAAATTTTTTTTTTTCTTTTTGGTACCGGGGATCGAACTCAGTACCCTGCGCTTGAGGCAGATGCAATGCCACTGAGCTAAATCCCCAGCCCAAAATCTGTAATTTTCCTTTAATGACCTTTAAATATAGAATGTACCCGGTAAATTCCTGAACACTTTGCTGAGAAGATACTAATCTACTCTGCTGATAAACATCAATACTTTTACTGACTATACTAAGAAGGATAGACAGAAAGCTGGGGGATATTTTTTTTCAAATTATAACTGACAGTAGAAGAAATGAATTAAATCAATTTCAATAACTGCTTAGGAATAACAGAATAACCATACAGTCTAGAATCATATGAAACAAAACATCATTTGCTCATTTCTACTATTTCATTATCACACAGAAGAAAGAAACAAGGGCTGGGGTCTTTGTCAATGTTTTATTTTCTAGTTTGCTGGAAAATGCCACATATTTGAAAGCGGTTCTAAATGTAAGGAAATGTTCAGCAGATTCCCTGGGATTATACAAAATATCCTGTCCAAAATGTAATTTGGATATGCACAATAAAGAAGTAACCACAAATTCAGGAACTTTACTATACCCTATTTACATCTTTAAATGAATTAAAACAAATTTTCTTAAAAAAAAAAACTTCAGATGATTTTCTCATTTAAGTGGATTTCATTTAAAGTGAGCCAAATTTTACTTATTGTAAAATAAACTTCTCTGCTAAGAGTTAGACCAGAACCTTCATACTTCAATATGAAATTACATTTCAAATTCTGAAGGGAAAAAACTGTATGCCTCTGCCTTTTATTCCTATAATGGAAACAGGTTGCTTGAATAGAGCAACAAATTTAGATAGTTAATAGAAACTTTAAAAAGCTTAAGGAGCCTTTTAATAAGTGAATACAGAAATAAATCACTCTGGATTATCATAATATTGCTCTCTCCTTCTTACACATGATTCAACAATTTTCAACCCACACTTTAAAATTCCATAAATTAGAATTCTTCTATTACTTTTTCAATACCTCACTTGTTATTCCATGGCCAATGGGTAAATATTCTTTGCGTTGAAGTATAGCTTTCCATATTAATAACACTAGGTATTTTCCCGTCATTTTAGACCATTTTGTATTACATAATGTTCCACAGTTTGCAAAATAACATAAAACAAAAAGAATAAAGTTAAAATGAAATAAAATCTCTTTAAATTAATACACTATGTGATGAGAGCTATCAGGGTAGGGAAATCATTTCCCAATGTGACTCTTGCACCTCTACAGGTCTTGTGAGTAAAGGCACCAATTGTCCTTCTATTCTAAACTATCTTTCCAAGAATGTCTGTGTGTCACACAGTCTTGGAAGATAAACTGTTTCCTTCTAAGACAAAAGGCAGGTCTGTTTACTGTCCAGAATGGCAAAGATAATGTCTCCATGTAAACCAAGGTTACACCGGTGTACTACCCACTATAAAAATATAGGTTTCTTAAGGTCTGGGTTTCTCAGCGCTGACATCTACCTGAGCTGAACCCCTCCCTGTTACCTTTATGGACCTTGGGAAGCAAAAAGAACCAACAAGAAGCTGATGCTCATGCTGCCTGGTGTGCAATAAGTAACAAACACATCTGTCTCTGCCCCAGGAGTCTATGACTACAGCCAGCAACCATGAAATTGTCAAGGCTCAAATATCTTGTGAGCTTACAAGTAGGGTAAAAATCTCAGGCCCATCACATTTCTTACCAGTCAGTATATTTTAAACACAGTGGCAACTCACAGTCTCTTGATATGATCATAACAATGGTGAAAAGCTCTAATATTCTATTTTAATTGAGTGGTTATGCTTAAAAGATCATAGATAACTAATATTCCTTTCAAATTCTCTGTAGTTTCTTGAGTTCTTTTTTGCTTGTTTTGAGTCAGGGTCTTGCTATGTATTCCCAGGTAGCTCTAAATTCTGTATGTATCCTAGGCTGGCCTCAAACTCACCATGATCCTTCCACCTCAGCTTCTTCAGCACTAGGATTACAGGCATGCAGCTCCATGCCTGGCAGTTTGTCAAGTCTTAATAGTTATACATCATCTTCATTTCAAAATGTATTTTGTAGGGCCGGGGATTTAGCTCAGGGGTTCTGCCGCCTGCCTTGTGAGCACAAGGACCTGAGTTCAATCCCCGGTACCAAAAAAAAAATGTATTTTGCAATAATTTTAGGTTGACTGAAATAGAATAGATTACTGTAACAATGAACATTCTAGGCATGCCTATAATCCCAGCATGCAGGAGGCTGAGACAGTAAAATAGAGAATTTGAAGCCAACCTGGACAGATGGGTGTAAGTGGTCTTCCACATATCCCTCTCTTACCAGTTTCTCCAGTATCTTTTTTTTTTCTCCAGTATCTTACATAACCACAGTACATTTGTCAATAAGAAGAAAACAACACTGCTACACTGTC